TGTGTTTTATATCATTTAGAACTTGTTTTTTCAGGTTCAGGCTCACCTCTACGTAGATTTGGTCTGCATTAAGGGTCCTCACATACAGATCTTCTGAACAAGCAGACAAAACATAAGCTAAATACAACACACTGAGATAGATAAATTATAATAGAACTTATGCAGCATCATGTAGGATTGCAAAATTGTGACTTCTGAGTGGTAGCTGCTGGAATAAAGCTGTTTTTTGTTGTTCTACGCTTTGGCATTAGAAGCCTTTCTACAAGAGGAAGAGAAACTCACTATGCAAACTGGTTAAGTAACACCAGTACCCAGCTAACCGCTGTAACTGTCTAGGCCATATCTACAGATATCTGGGTTCAACTGTGGGTCACCAATCAGCCTCTGAGACTATTTAACGATTTGAGTAAGAGCTCTGTTCTTTACAGATGAATATTCACACACAAACACACACACACACACACACACTAAATGAAACTGTGATAAAATAATTGATTTAAATAACAGATTCATCACTGTTGGGTTTTCGGACTGATTGAAAAAACGAAATCTCAAGACATCACCTTTGATTGAAAAGCTTTCGAAGGCATTAGGTTTGAGTTCCATAAGCTATGATCAGGTCAATCCTTATGCTTGTTTTTTATGTAAGATGCCCTGCTTTTTGCAACCCTCAAGGGATTTGTGTGTCCTACCAGAATCAAACCAGCTATCTTTAATTTATTAGGCAAATGTGTAAACCACTAGTAGACGCAGGTTTAATCTCTTTTTTATGTTTGTGGGAGAATTCGTGATCGAATGCTGTAAATCTGAGACAAGCAGGGTTTGCGGTATCTAACTTAATATTTTAAGCATGCAGGAGATAAATATCACAGTAACAGTATCGAGTATTTTGATATAAACTTATAACTTACAACAACCAATTTTGCCCATTTGTATGAGGCTTACTTTTTGCATTTATAACAAGATACTGGCTGCAAATTAAAATTTGTTGATAGCACATTATTTTATTCATTTTTTTGTTAAACTGTTAAAAAGTTTTGAAACGGTTTCTGAGCAAATACCACAGGAATGCTGAGTAATGGCAAAAACCTGCCTCTTTTTCACCAGCCAGGTTTGGGAGGTACTGTGAAGTTGAAATGGAAGTTGAAATACAGCAACAAAAATACATCGTCCAAACTAGAAGTTCTTTTACCAGCAGATGTCTAACAGAGTCAAGGTGCAGAGGACCTCGGCAGAACAGGTTCTCAAGTTTTCATAGTCAGTATGGGCTGAATTAGTCACTGTAGCTCAGACATTAAAATGCATGGAAAATACATCTCTAAGATTTACCAGCCTAACACAGGAACCATTTGAAAATACTTAAAAAAATACTGAGCATTAGTTGCTGTGCAAAAACCAGCAGTCACTTCCCTGCTGTAAAGCTTTGCAGTCAATTTCCATCATGGAGGATCAGACAACAAGCAGTAGTGAGATACAGTTTAATAGTTGCTTCTTTGCTCATCTTATCCCCCATCCCTCCCCTTCCTTCCCTATCCTAGCAGGAGGTCAGTGAAAAGATGTCACTGCCAAATGACCCAATCATGTCTGCAGACACAAACAGCTGACTCGGGGGGG